ACTTTGATTACAAGCATTTAATATAATTATCAAGAGATTAGCCTGTTGTTATAGAATCCTGGTAATGGGACTAGTTAAAAAGAATATAATTGCACTTTATTGGTTTCTGCAAAAGAAAAGAGCCTGGATAAAATGGTCCTTTTTGTTAATGGTTTAAATTCTGGCTGAGTATACTAATTTTATTCTATCTTAGTTTGTTTCCTTTAGTAGTTGTGCCAAAGGGTGTAATATTTTCTAATACTTAGCCTGTCCTCTAGTCATTTATGTTTTATCTCTTTTATAAAATATATATATATCAATATTCTTATATATAGTCATTGCTTTGAAATATATATTGGTACAATATTTTTCTAAGGTAGTTTTAATAATTTACACATTGACTTTTAAACTTATTTGTACATAGGATGAGCAGATTGATTTTTTTTTTCACTTCTAATTCATGTGTTACCTGTTTGCGTTGCAACAAAAAGTCCCAATGAAATAACGGCCCAGGAAATTGGCAGACTTACTTGATGTTAGTATATTTGTATATAAATAAATACAGTTGACACTCAGACTGGATGCATTTTGGATCTTTTCTAGTTTCTTGAAGGCAAAAATATAGACCTTAATAAGGCTTTTTTTTTTTTCTTTTAAAACTTTAATCTACTTGGGTTGGACACAAAGTTCTTTTAGAGAACCTCAATTTAGGCTGGGGATATAACTCAGAAGCATAAGCACCTGCCTGACAAACACAATCCTGAGTTCAATTCCTGTTACCAAGAAGAAAAAAACCTAAATTCAATATAGTAGGTTTTTGTTTCCTTCCAGATCTGCAGCTAGTGAAATTGCACTTTTTGCTAAAATACCAAAGAAAACAATTAGAGAATTGCTCTGAAGAGAAAAGAAACTGAGGCACTAAGTGCTGTCTACTAGAGGCACCGGCAGAAGAGAGACAGCTGTCTTCTTGTGAAGTGAGATATGGGAGTCAGGTGGAAGTACTGTTTAGGTCTTGAAAAAGAAATTGCTTACTAGCTATCTTGCATAAATAAATATCAAGCATAATGAGCCTTCAATAATTCTTTTTAAAAATTGCTTTCTTTTGTTTTTATCAAAGTAGCAAAGGAAGTACCAATTTTTTAAATCTTAGGTTTTATATATGAAGAATTTTAAATCACATTATCTCTACTTTTTATATTTCATATTGGCAATGTACATATTGCTATATTATTAATATTTTTGCTATTATAAAAAAATGCTAATTGAATAGGAGTAATGGTTCCATTCCTTGAAATTTACCTCGAGGGGCTGGGGATTTAGCTCAGCGGCATAAGCGCCTGCCTTGCAAGCACGCAGTCGTGAGTTCGATCCCTGGTACCGATAAAATGGAAAAAGACAAAAAAAAATTAAAAAAAAAAGAAAAGAAAAGAAAAGAAACTTACCTCGAATCACTTGGTGTGTGGCACAAGAATTTTTTACCTGTAGTTTAAAGATTTCTAGCGATAATAAGTCAGTGCCAGAGTAAGGCCTAAACTTTTTTTTATTACTGAATTTTATATTTAACATATTAGGGGAATTTGGCATTGTGGTTATATGCCCAGTAGCATGAATTTAAAGAAAGCAATATAACAGTGAGAGGCAAAATTTACAAAGACTGTCAATAGTGAGAATAATAGAAAAGGCACAAACCAACTGATTATTCCACAAGTTTCCCCTGCTTTGTTATTTAGCGCTGTATTAATTTAATGCTAAGCTTTGCTTTAAAATGTTATTCATGTATAAATGTGTGTACGTATTGATCATTTATATGGGTATACAGAAATAAATAAGAATTCTAATTATAGATGCATGGAGTGTTATGGATAAATAAAAAGTATAGAAATATGGAACATCATAGTATTTCAAAAAAAATTCCTGTTTTCCTCATGATTCTTGGAAGAACTGCATTTAAAATATATACAAAAATAAAATAAAGAAATTTACATATGTTAGTTGAAGACTATCAGTCATTGATTGTCAAACTAGGTCATTAAGTTATTTTTTATTTCTCCTCCTCTGATATAATTGCATGTACTAATTGGCAAATTTTATTTTTGCCTTAAGATGTCAGATACAGACAATATCACATATAATTTGCTTTCATTATTAGGAATCTGTTCAATAGTGGTATTACTGATGTAAGAACCATAGTAGTCTGCAAGATAAGAGACATCGTGAACACATTGTTTCTCTTAGATTTTATAACACAAATCAATAATTATAAACTTTTTTACAAATTATTTATATTTTGCTTGCAGCTTTATTAATTGATTTAGATACTAAGACTGATAAGACTGATTTCATCATTTATGCAAATGAAACACAGAAAAGGTTTGTGTTTGTGTTTGTACTGTTGTAAAAGGCAACAGTCGGGGCTAGGGATTTTAGCTTGGCGGCATAAGCACCTGCCTTGCAAGCAGGCAGTCGTGAGTTCAATCCCTGGTACCGATAAAAACGAAAAAAGACCAAAAAAAAAAAAAAAAAAAAAAAACCAGGCAATAGTCATGTGGGAAAATAAATTAAGAAAACTACATTCACCTAAGTTATTGAACATTAAAGAAATAAGTGCTCCACTTCTAGGAGTTATTACAGGTGTCTGATTTTTAAAACTCTGAAAAAATCATAATTTTTCATGTGCTTAGAAGAAAAGTATTTGGAAGCAAAATCAGGATCAAACTAATACCATATAATCATCTATTACATTTGTCATACTTACTGCCATAATATATTTTGTTGCAGAAATATGATTTATTTGATTATGGAATACTAACTCAAATGCTACTAGTTATCTTAGGAATTTCAGTCATCCAAAAAATATACATACTTTGACATTCGGATTCAACAGAACAAACTGCAGGTCAGAACTACCATGAGACTTAGACAGATAAAAAGGAGAGATAGCCATGCGTGGTGGCTCATGCCTGCAATCCCAGCACTCAGGAGGCTGAGGCATGGGAATCCTAGCAAGTTCAAGACCAGCCTGGGCTACAAAGTGAGCTCAAGGCCAACCTGAACTGCATAGAGAGACCCTGTCTCAAAAATACAAAAAAAAAAAAAAAAAAAAAAAAGAGAGAGAGACAAAAGTCAGGTTATTGAATAGAAGACTTTCTTTTCTGTAGATCATTTTAAATTAAGAATAGCAATCATACCCAAACCAGAGGTTTGCAGTCAGTAGTACTGGCAGTCATTAGTATTTGCAAGGCAGGTACAAACAGGATGCATCATTGTCACATTTCACCACTGTGGCACAGCACAAAAGGATGAAAGATTACTCAGGAATTACTCAGAGACACTGTCCTGTCCACACTCCAAGAGGGCTAGAGGGACTGCCATTAAATGAGACCCCTCAGCATGAGAAAGTCTCAAAGGACAGCCTCAAACTGAAGCCTATGTGGCTTTTTATTGACAGAACCAGGAAGCAAGGAGAAAAGAAAAGGTCACCTCAGCCGGAACTCAGATAGGAGGGAATGGACAAAGAGAAGCCTAGGTGGTCTGTTAAGTGCCTGACCTTGGAACCAATCTGAATGATAGATCAGGATATGGGGAGGACAAACGCCAGAGCACTGGTTCCTCAAGGCAGTGCATTTTGGTCTTACTTGGACTTGCAGGCTTTCAATCTCTGTGTTTTGAGAGGTTTGGGCCTTGTGGCTCCTTACCTCTGAGTATCAGTCTCATACATCCATCTGGCCAACACCCCCATGTGGTGATTACTGGTGACCTTCCAGATCACAGCTGGGACGTGTTTCTTGTTATTGCTGTATTGGTTAACTAAAGAGCTGGTAGTTTTAGTGTCCTTTTCAGAAATAATAATCTACAGTATTTCTGAGCAGCTACTTACTGGCAAGCTCCAGAACCATACCTACCACTGTGAATTTCAGATTATGCTTAATAACATAATTTTTCAAGCTATCCCACAGTTGAAGGATAGCAATTACAGTAGATTATTGAACCCTATTCAGTATCTTAGTTAACATGGAGCAACAGTGAGAGATTCCTCTCGGGATTCATTTTAGCACAGTAAAAAAAACGTTTTTTGAGAAATCTTCTGGAAGCCTGGTAAAGTGCAAATTACCAAGCTCCCACTCAAGCTTTACTTTTATCCCAGGTAAAACAAATTGTAGTGCTGGACTCAAAAAATTAGCAAGTTCATGTGTCAGGAGCTAGTTAATAATAATAGCTTCCATTGTCAAACTTCCAATAAATATTCTTGGATATGCTATTTCCTTTTAAAATAGTCTCATAAAAGTTGAATCTAAAGCATCATTTGAAACACATTTCAGAAAATTTTCTGATTACTCTATGAAGATGATTTAAATTTAGATGTTCTTTTAAAATTCATTTTCAAGAATTATGCAAAAGTCAGGGACTTTGAAAACATGTTTATTTTTTGAAATCTTTGTATGTAAATACCAATAAAATCACGATTTTCAACTTTGAACTTGCTAATAGAATGAAAAAGAAATACAATTTTTTCTCAAGTTAAAGGAAAAAGGTATATAAGCATTTATTTATCTTGGAGAGTACGCTTATCTGTCTAATATATATATTAAAAAAGTACGTATGCCTTTGAGTGCTGCCTCACTTCCATTTAGGTTTATTGCTGATAAACCTAGATTCAAGTTATGCTCCTCCTGTAGTTGGTTTATTTTCCCAATAAGTATGTGTTAAACAGTGTAACTACCACTTTTGTTGCCACAAATTTTATGCTACACTGAAATCTTTTCTAGGAATTCAGGTATAATGTGCAGCATGTGAAAGTCATGGAGGTTTACCTTCATTTTCAAACATTTTTATATTATTATACCTAGACATGCAGGGAAATAATACATGCTTCTATTCAAGAAAGACAAAAATTCTCTGTTTAACCTATATACCTGTTTGCATGACCAAGGATGGAATGAATTGAATCCTGGAAATGTGTTAACTAATTATTTTCCATATGGCTCCCTATTGCTGATGGACTGTTCTATTCCACAACACAGGTGCACTTCAGATAAATACGGCACAGGTCTGAAAGAGCTCTTCTTGACACCAAAATTGTATGTATTATTTTTTCACTTTAGAAGAAAAGGATTGTGTCCTCAGGACACAAAGAATTATGCAAGTAGTATTCCAATTATACTGTGAATGTTTAAGTAAAAAATAATCATCACTGTAATAGAAGGAAGCGCCATTAATCCCCAAGAAAGTATTCCTCACTTAATTTTTATTTCCTCCTTACTTTAAATACATTTATTCTACCATTATTGCCATGTTTGAAACATTTCTGAAATTCCTCTTTCGTGAATGTCTTTATGAAGTGTGATCAAAAATATGATAAATTCTGCTCATAAACACCTTTAAAAGAGAGGCAGACATTTAAAAAAAAAAAAGTATGGTGTGTCCTTATTCTCTGGTTCTCACACCACATGACTTCTGACTCTTCCCCAAAGTTAAAACCACTTGAGAGGTCAGCGTTTTGAATTGACTCAGGACATGAAGACTGCCACCACAGCACAACTGAAGACGTTCACAAAAGAGGACATCCAGAGCTGCTTCAAAACAGTGGCAAGAATGATGGGATGCATGTGTTATCCCATCACCCCCACACACAGATAGGTGTGTTATCCCATCACCCCCACTTAGATAACTGTATTATCCCATCGCCCCACACACAGGTAAGTGTGTTAGCCCATCATTCTTGACACATTAGATAAAGTGAGGGACATTATTTTGAGAGGGAATACTGGCAATGTGTTTTTACTTTAATAGTTTTTTCTCTGAACTGTCACCATAGTTCTTTGAAGTATTTATAGGCTTCTGCAGCCACATGAGGTCTCTTTATTAGTGCGTGTTTGCAGCACTTCACTGTGAGGGGCTGGGACACATACATAACATATCTTGGAGAACTACTCAGCTATAAAGAAGGATAAATTATCCTTTGTAGGATAATGGATGTACCTTGGGACCATAATATTAAATGAAATAAATTAAACACAAAACTTAAATGTCACATGGTTATTCTGTAGGAAAAGCCCAAAGTAGAAATAAATTTAAAAAGCAAAATGAAAGGTAGATAAAAGGAAACATGGAGAGAGATCTTTTGCAAATGGGAAAAAGGGACCAAGTGATGGCAGGATTGGGGACTAAGGGAAAGGAAAAGGATGTACAAAGTTTCTGCAGTATCAATCACTCTTGTAATTCCTTCCTTTCTCCTTTCCTTCTTTCCTTCCTTCCTATTGCATTAGGATTTAAAGTTCATATGTGGTCAGTGATGGAAGTTTTTCATAGTAAAGCTTTGATGTTTAAAATCTGAGAATTTAAAGATTTTCTAAATCAGATAACCAAGAAATGGGCTGGGTATGTAGCTCAGTGACACAGTGCCTGTCTGGCAAGCATGAGATCATGAGTTTAATCCCCAGGACCCACCCACTAAAGTAACAAATAACCAAGAAATGACGAACAAATTAATATGAGTGCATTTATTTTACTATGAAAAGAGAAAGAGAAAAAGTCCAAATTACAACTTTGTTGTAAAAATAAGACATTTTCTTAGTTTTAGTGGTTCTGGATCCTGTTATCTCTTCCACATAGCATATACACACAAACACTAAACATAAACTCTGTTTCTGGGTGATTTCCAAAAACTGTGTTAGACTTGGAACTAGCTAGATAAATAAGTCCTCTGCCAGATAATATTTTTTTATTTCTTTCCTTGCCTTTATTATTTTGTTTTCCTTAAAATTAGTTTTGCTTTATAATTTTTTCCTTTTATGGCTGTAAGCTTAAGTCCTTAGTTTTAGATCTTTTCCAAAAATGTAAGAATTTAAACCTATAAATTTCATATACTATATACACTGCCTTAGTTTAACCTCTCAAATTTTCACTGTTGGCTTTTAACTGAATTGAAATTTTTGCAACTTTTTAACTCAGTATGGTTGATGGTAATAATGATTATCTATTTCTTTACTGATTTTTTTCTCACTCTACTTATTGAAAGAAAAAAGTTGCTATCACTTAATATAATTGGGGGATTATCTGTTTCTCCCTTTAATTCCATCAGTTTTGTTTCTTCAATTAGTCTCTGATATTAACTAAACACATACTTATGAATGTTATATCTTCTTACAGATTTGACACCTTGACTTTTTAAAGTAATTTCTGGTATATCTCTATTTTAAATAACTTTGTCTGATAATAGTACAGTATTCTAATTTCTTACTTTTACTGTTTATTCATTTGTTTTTTAATGTTCTGTTCATTTTAAAATTATTATTTTATGTATTTGAAGTATGTAATGATTGCATTCATTGTTAGGAATTGGGACATGCATATACACATTTTAATTATTTCAGGCCTTTGTTTTGAAGATTTATATTTTACTGCATTTCTTATACATGGTTTATAGTTGATTGTTACTGTTTGGTTCATTATGGTCTCTACATTCCAACTAAAAAAAATTAATAATCTAATTTTTGATATGGCTGGCTTTATCTCTACAATCTTAGTACTTTTTTTTTTTTTTTTTTGGTACTGAAAATCGAACCCATGACCTCGTGCTTACCAGGCAGGCGTTGCACAACTGAGCTATATTCCTGGTCCCTATTTTGTTTCTTATGTCTATTAATTTTTGGTTTTTTTAGTGTTCTGTTCACCTTTTCTGTTTTCTTTTGAATTGTTTGAATATTATAATTTCATTTTATTGATTTTAGTTATGCTTCTTCATGTTATTTTTTAGTGGTCATCAGAGGATTATTTGATACCTACTTAATTTTCAGTTTACGTAGAGTTAAAAATCCAACACCTCATGCAAAATATAGAAATCTGTCAACCATACAGATTATTATTTACCACTTCCCCATCTAGCATCCCTTCTGCTTTATTTCGTGTATATGTACATAGACCTGCCAACATTAGGAATCTCACAGAGCTTGTCAGTTTTTCCTTAACATGTATATACGTTAAAGAAATTGAGAGGAAAACTAGTTACTTATATTGCCCAAACTTTTTCTGCTTTTACTGCTCCAAGTTCATTTCTAAATATTCAAAACTCTACGTGATTTCCTTCAGCATGAGTTCTCCTATCAGAGCTCTTGTCAGACAGCCTCATACTTTTCATTTTTCTGAAAATATGATTTTTTATTTTCATTCTTGAAAGTTATTTTCTGTGGATATAGGATTCTTAGGATGGTATTATGTTATTTTTCATTCATCACTTTAAAAATGTTCAGCTGCTTCTGGTCTCTGTGTTAATTCACTTGTGTAGTGTCTTCTTGTTCTCTGGCTCCTGTCACTCTTTACCTTCACCTTCGATTTTCAGCAGTTTGAGTGGGATGTGTCTCTGTGTGGTTTTCTAAATTTATTATTATCCCAGGTGATCCCTCAGCTTAAATCTGTGAATTTATATCATGCCAGATGTACAAAGTCTGGACCCATTATTTCTTTCAAAAAATTTTTTTTCTTTTCTTTGAATTTTTTTCTTATCACATTCTATTTTTTCTGGGACTCCCATTACATTTATGATAGACTCTCTTATACTATTCTTCAAATGACTAGCATTTGTTTGTGTTTCTAACTTTTTTTCTTCAAAATTGGATAGTGTCCATTGATCTGCTTTCATATTAAAAGTTTATTGTTATCCAAAAATATTTTACATATTTGTGTAGTCTGACTACAACAGAACTTAAACTTTTAAGAATAGAGATATTTTCTTGTATTAGTCAATACTGAGTATTCAAGATCTAATGCTTGTTATACAGTATTTATTGAACAACAGCTATGTGTAGTTTTAGAATACTGAATATACTGGCCGAGTTTAGTATATCATTGGGGGCAGGGGAGTATGGGGAATCAAGTTGACGCCCTCTCACTTGCCCGGCAGGCACTGTGCCGCTGAGCTAAATCCCCAGCCCCTAGTGTATCCTCCTTGAGCTTCCCTCTGTTAATCTATGAAACTTGGGTATTAATACCTAGGTCATAGAATTCTTAGAGGATTAAATGACATGTTTAGGGAATATAACATAGATAGAGCCTAGATAGAGCGCGGTACCTGGTTCATATTTGTTATTCAGAAAACATCAGTTCAGTTTGAGTCACAAAATAATACACAGTTAGTGTACCCTGTTTTTGTTTGTTTGTTTTCGGGTTTTTTCCAGATATTTTTAGGAGGTCTATAACACAACCTTGAAAGAGAAAAAAGGGGTCCTTAAAACTCAGAATATCAAGATGATCCCCACAGTCTATGCTGTCCTGGAGGCTCAGCCCTTCTTCCCCATCTTGTCTCACTCCACTAATCTTTCCTGTAATGTCTGTGCCATTTGCAGTGTGCAGTTTAGCAGCTGAAATGCTGTTTGGAAATGTTTAAAGGAGCTTCATACTATTAGATGATTGAGGCAATTACAATCTCAACCAAGACTTAATTTTTAAGTCTATTCACTCATTTAGGAAAGATGCCAATGTTAGGAAGTGAAAAAAATCACTAAGAAACCATCTTTATTATAGTTGGATGTTTTTCAGGCTGATTGTTTTTTGGTATGGCTCTATCACAAGGTAGGTACCACTGCTTTCCTTCCTGATGTGGGCTTAGCTCAGTGGCGTAAGTGCCTGCTTGGCAAACACGAAGTCGTGAGTTTAATCCCTGGTTCAATCCCTGGTACCAAAAAAAAAGAATTCCTCTTGAAAGATTTTTCCTGCCCTGATCAGATACTCAGAAGCCTGAATTCTCCTTCAAACATAGCATATAATACACTTCTTTAGAAATTATTGGTTGATATTAATATGACTTTTCAGAGCTCACTGCCTATGCTAATAGTTTACTGGTACAGTGTATTTTATGCCTAAAGTTTTACTTTTTACAGCATAGAGCTAAGATATATTATCATACTACAACCAAATAGTACAACCTTTTCCTGTTTCTAGTAAATATACACATTAGAAGCAAACTTGACACTGAGAAGTAAAATGTATTGTACAGTGAGCACGACGGGAAAAGGCAGGCAGGTGAAAGGGAAAGACACGAAGGGCTAGAGAGGGAATCCGCATAGGAAAAATGCGATTGTATCGTAATAAAAGTGAGAAACAATTCTGGAAGCCAAAATTTACCCAAAAATTTTGCTTTTTTTTTCAGTCTTTGTTTGATTTTATCTAAATTATTCTCATGAAGTATAGCTTGTGCTATCAAATCTATCCTCGTCCACTCTTTCACTTAAAACCTAATTATTTTTAACTAGGAATCTTGTTTGAGTTGCATACTTGCATAACCACTGTTTTTTGTAGTGTGAATTTGAAATATTTGAGAAGCTTTGACCAGAATCATCACATATACCCGCTCTGCACCATTAAACCTAATAAGTGACTAGGAGACTGGGAAGACCCAGTGATACTTTTGAAATCCTGCTTATGGAGTCCTCTTCCCTTCCAAATTCAGTAATAAAATGGAAAGAGAACAAGTCAGCTGCTTTAACAATATTGGAATGAAGCTTAGGATTTGACTTCCTGCACAGTGATTAGGTTGAGAATGCAAAGGCAGGGAGGATACGTTTTTTTAGGGTTTTTACCAGTCAGTTTGTAAATTAAATAACATACAACCCTTATTATGGAGGGAGGAAGAGTGTCAAAAATGTTGGAAAAAGGGTGCTTCATGGGCAAGAGAGAATGATAATAAGAATGTAAAGATAGGTGTCAAATATAATAGTACAAACCAGAGGCTGTGTATTCAGATGCTTACATCATTAAATTGTAGACAGAATTTACAAAATAAGACATCAGACATTTTAAATCACAGGCTGCTGAACATCGTTGTAGGGAAAGAATTAGCAATACATGCCACATGCTTTTTACAACGTATTTTGTAATCACATTCCTTAGAGTATTTTGATCTTACACTTCTGGATTCTCCTGTTCAACCAATGGAATCCTTCATTTTTCATTATTGTGTATCATCTCTTTTCTTTTTGGCACTTACCAAAACTATAAATTGAGTATTTATTTATATTGTGGAATATACTGAAGGCTTCCAATATGAGGAATAATGCTAGTTGATTCTTCCGTGAGTACGTCCTTCTTTAGCCTATGACCTGCCTCAAAGTAAGTGTACAATAATTATTTCTAGAATACTGAGTGAACATACACATGATACTTACAGCATTCTACCTATTTCATAGTTGTAATTGTTGTTCCAGAGTAATTAGATCTTGTTATAGAGAGGCATAAAACAGCTGTTCCATTGCTCTCCATTAATAATTTCAAGGTAGCTTATTTTCTTTGCTGTTTTCATTTAGAAGAAGATAGAAAGTAAAACTGATGGAGGACACATACTATAATATTATCTTGGGCTCATGACTTACCCTCTCTCTGTCTCCATTTCATCATCTATAAAATGGGTTAATAATAGTAATATCTCACAAGTGAAGAGTTAATGTACATAAAATGATTAAAAAGTGCCTTGAATACAATAAGCTCTCAATAAATATTGATTCTTCTAGAATTATTATTGTTCTAGAAGTTATTACTCTTCTAGTTCTACAATGGCCTTATACTTGCAACGACATATTGTCTTTGTTACTTTTCTCTCCTTGCTGAGACAAAACACCCAACACCCAAAATGGAGGCAAGAAAGTTTTATTTAGCTCCCTGTTTGTGGAGTGGTAGGCCCAATTTTCCCTTGGAAAATCCCTCTAGGTCAGCACTAGAGTGACTCCTTATTTAGTTTATTTCCTCAAAGTCATGAGGAGACCAAAATGACCAGTGGGAAGTCTTAGCATCCATTTCAGTGGTACCATTATTGTGCTCCTGGTATAAGCCTTGTAGCCCTCTGGAACCAAAACTTCTAAGCCAGTAGAACATAAGGTCATACAGACAAGAAGCAGAAATTTGCTAGTGGATCACTAGAGCTAATGGTGAGTGGTACCGTTCCTACTTCCACTCTTTGATTCCTGGACCCATGAATCTAGAAGACACAGTACCATATAGTAGAGGCTGATTCAAAGCATACACAGCCTTTTGAAATACCTGACCTCAGCCCTGCAAGCTTTTGCCATGTAGCTGGGGCCTTAACGATGTCTTTAAAAGACCATTCCACCTTTCTATCAATCTTAACTGCTTCTGGATGGTGAGGAACATGGTAAGACCAGTGAACTCCATGAGCATGAGCCCATTGCCTCATTTCTTTGGCTGCAAAAATGTGGTCCTTGGTCAAGGGCAATGCTATATGAATGCCATCATTGAAGATAAAGCATCCTGTGAGTCCATAGATGGTAGTTTTGGCAGAATCCTTACATGTAGTGAAGGCAAATCCATATCCAGAATATATCTCTATGCCAGTGAGAAGAAAGCACTGTCCCTTGCATGATGAAAGTGGCCCAATATAATCAACCTGCCACTGGATAATAGGTTGATCACCTCAGGGAATGGTGCCATACTGGGACTCAGTGTTGGCCTCTGCTGATGTATTGGGCATTCAGCAGTGGCTGGGTCAGGTCAGTCTTGGTGAGTGGGAGTCCACTGAAGCCATGCATAACCTCCATCCCTTGTACAAAACTATAACTCTCTTTCAGGTACCACAGTATCAAAGACTATAACTACTTACCATGGAAAAAAAGCCTTTCTCTACATTCATTCTGGAGTGCAGTCCATGAAAAATAGTACTTTACTTTTCCTACACAGTATATGGTTAGCTCCTAGAATCAGCATCTTGTGAACTTCACAAATGTTACGTTACAGATCCATTTATTGTTTTCAGTTTAGGTAGGTTCTTGTGGTTCACTTTCCAATTATGTAATTGTTCATTTTATTATTGAACCCTCTGCTTTTATTTTGGCTGTTTTTCAGATCTAAATTTTCCATTTGGTTCTTCTTAAAAATGTGTTCTTAAACACATTTTGTGTTTCTTTGCTGAGACTTTTTGCTCATTGCTGCTTTTATTTTTTTTTAATTGTGGCTACTTAAATTATATGCCAGCAAAGTTTAACATCCTTGTCCTCTTAATGTTGACATCCATTGGTGATATTTTTATGTGCTGTTTGAGGTCTTACATGTTCTTATATGACAACTGATTTTAGATCCAAATCTGAAAACTTTTTATGCTCTCAGGTTTTTGTCTCATTTTAATTTTTTCTTCTAATTAACTTTCTGTAACATCCTTGATTAGAGGTGCAGAGGCACTGATTCACTTTTTATAGAAGAGGTGGAAATCTCCCCACATAGCTACCACTGAAACCCTAGGAGTGAGGAATTCCTCCCATATTTCTTGGTATGAATGAAAGTTTCGATTCTACATATGGTATCCACTTTTGGGGGTACCTGCATTGCTGCCTTAATTAAACCTAAAATATTCTCCTACAATAAAATATAAAAATGAAATATGAAGTCAGATCTTTTATGAGTGGATTTTATGTTTGTATGAATGAGTGCTGCTCAGAAAAATTATAATATTATCTCTTTAAGTATATTATTCCAAATATTATATACAGAAATACCAGCTTCTCAAGCAGTGGTATTTATCACCATGTTTATTGAATTTAAATTGAAAACAAAAATTACATTCATGAAAGATTCCAGGGGATATGTAATATGCATATTTCAGTAGTTACTGTAATAGCTTGTGGACTTTTAATATTGGTTTAGAGTGTAAAAGACAATGTTACCCAATGATGTTCCATGGTTGTTAATGGTTTATATTAGCTGAAAGCTATAAAATATCCAAGGACTCTTTTCAAGTTAGAATAATAATTTACCAAGACAATTACTACATACTAGAATTTTTTGCAGCTCTAATTCAGTATTATTAATAATGGATAAAATTGCACTTTTCTCAGGTTGCTGTGGGCAGCAGGGAATTATTTCAATGAATATTTCAGCACCTTATTTTAATCATTGCTCTACCAAATCCAAGTGGGCAATATGTTATACTTTTTAATTCAGTCTACTAAGAAACCATGGTCATTAAATTGCAAACTATTTGTAGTGAGGTCTACCATGTGATTTATAAGCCTTGTTAAAAACAGTGTAAAAGAAAGCAAACTGAGCCATTAATACTTGTAATTTGATATTGCATTTCTTGCTAAACTCGTGATTAATGTTTTCAGTAAAGAAAAGAACATCATAAAAAGAAAAAAAACTAAGTTGAGTGTTATGATGTCTAAAATATAAGAAGGTTACTATGTGGGGGTTTGTTCATTTGTAGAGGAAATATGTATACACACAGTATAAAATATAAGTACCTCAAAACTCATTTTATTTTTCCAGTGAGATCAAAGAAATGAAGCTTTACTTTGTAAAGAAAGATAATTTCCAATTAGACATTTTATTAGTAGCAATTGAGACTGTTTCTTTATTTTCCCATATATAGCCAATTGCATGATTTCTGGCGTTTGGATTACTGGGAAGATGATCTTCGTCGAAGGAGACGATTCGTTCGTAATGCCTTTGGCTCCACTCATGCCGAAGCGCTGCTGAAAGCTGCTATAGAATATGGTTAGTACCGATTCCTTTGAAACATACACGCTTATGGATATGAGATGGCTTCTGTGTTTGCCAATTTAAGCCCCTCCCCACCACCAGTATTTAATGTTCTCCATGTTGTAAGGCAGAAACACTGTGTTCTGAATTACTCTTTAGCATTGTTTAGGTTATACTTAACCCAATATGTCTTTACACTACATATACTTGAACCTTCCATTTCTTTTTAAGAGATTATAGTCTTCACAGATCATAGTCTTCATGAGTCAGTGTTCCTTTCATACAGCCCTAAACTAGAATTATTTTTTTATTAAGGGACCTTCAAGTTTTAGTGATCAAAACACATGGTGGAAAAAAAATTATATTGTAATCCTGTGTGCAGAATTGCATATTCTCATGTGTACATTTGTGTGCAGTACACACACAGTGTACTCAATGCATATATGTACATAGATACATAAATGAAACAGATGTATTATTATTAGTAACCTCTTTACATGATGTTTTATTATTTTTTACTTTAGTCTTTTTAGGTTAATAAAACAAAATAAAATCTCTGTTCAAATCTTTCTATTTAAGTCCACATCCTTCAATGGGTTAGAACACCATTTATAGTATCAGTTTCCACATCAGAATTATACCCAAATTACCCTTTATAAATATGCAATTATTAAATATGAAAATATATATTTTTAATAAAAATGCTACTACTTTAGTTTGTTGTCCATTAAGTATGTTTAGGAACACTTTTTCTATTTACTTATTTTAAAATATTTTAAGTTTAAGTTTAATCATATAATAATTTTATAAACTTTGTACACTGGAAAAATACCAAAGTTGAACAATCCATGCATTTTTAGTCTCTTTTATTCTTTTAAGTACTTGTAGTTACTATTTTAATTTTCATTTTATGCTAATAGTTTAAAATCAACTGTAATTGGCAAATAGATTTTGTCACACTGTAGTTTCTGTTAAATAGGTTTTATCACTCTGTATCTTCTGTTCTCATGAATTGGAAAGGGAAAATGTTCAATCGTAACAAAAAGACAAAATTTTAAAATTGGTCCTATCAGTAAGCTATTAATTGATTTCTCTTAGTAAGATGCAAAGTATTATTAGTAAATATAGTACATGAAAATTTTGAGTGAAACTATAATTACTAAAATTACAGAGTAATTTTATACAGTAAAAGTAAATTTGATTAAAAAATGCTTGAAAAAACTGTAATTGACCTTACTTTAGATAATTTCTTTAGCCAAATGTAAAGATCACCTAAGAATTTTGGCACTCTGAAGACTTGATGCTAACTTAAAGTTAGTTATTTTCTTTGTGATGCTTTAGGACAGATTCTTAGAAGTACTATCCATTTAATAATGATACGCTGTATGTAGGAACTCAAAGTTATTAAAATTTTATTTTATTTACCCAATAATTTAGGCTTTTTCACCAATCATTCTTAATTTATCTCCTTTGAAATCAGAAGCATCTGGAGACAATAAGAATTTAGGCTGTGTGAAAATCAGTTGTCAAACCTTTAATTATACATGATCTACCTAGTACTATATGTCCTACTCTATGAGCTACTTGAAAAGCAACCATGTTGTTAAGAAATATCTCCTTAAAAATGAATTCTTTATGTATTAGCATCAAAGCCATTCATAAATACATTTTTAAACTTTTACTTTAAAATCTTTTTGAGACTAAATCATGTTATACTAGCATAATAATATTGTTAATGAGCCTGAACTAAAAAAATAGTGCCCTGAGTTTTAACTATGTAAGAGTTGTGTGAGGAAATGTATATGTACTGAAGGTACTAATTTAAAATAAACAGTATTAATTTTTTTCCTTGGGAAGGTGGTACTGAGTATTGAACTCAGGATCTTCATACTGAGCTATATCCCCAGCCTTGTTTATTCACTTTTTATTCTGAGACACAGCCTCCCTGAAGAGTTTAGGCTGGACTTGAACTTATAGTTCACCTGCTTCAGCTTGCCAGAGTCCTGAGATTATAGGCATTTGCCACCATACCTGGCTACTATTTATTAATTTTAAACGCTACGTCATCAGTAGTATTCAGTACCTCTCAATCTTGGTTCTGTGATTAAAAAAAAGAGAGAAAACCAGGTGTGGTGGCACATGCTTGTATCCCCAGCACTCAGTGGGCTGAGGCAGGAGGATTGTTAAAAGTACAAGACCAGCCTGGGTTACAAAGTGAGTTCATGGCCAGACTGAACTACATAGTGAGACCTTGTCTCAAGAAAACAGAAATAAAAGGAGAAGGAACTATGTTTCAACTTTATACACATAAAAACAGAGATCAAATCTATGTTATAAAACATTCAGAAACTCTTTATGATACCTATGCTAGAGCACTCCATGGTTATTCTCAGGGAGTAGCATCAGTAAGTGGAGGATCGTAAAGCTTTTCAATAATTCTACCTCCCCAACATTTCTAGAGTACATGTCTTCTGTCCTTTATTATAGTCCTCATCTGTGGACAGAACACAGGAGAGAATTGCCAATAAGGTATGAAGGATGTGGAGAGTGTGAGAGGCATGCAGTCCACGGGGTGATCTCTGCAGAGAAGCAAAGGATGAATTAAAAACTGCCAAAAGAAAACCTGTAGTATTATATCTAACCAGCAATACACTTTTCTGCATAGATATATGTATATATATATAATATTTCTTTAAAAGAAACAGGAAGTAAATGTCAGTAATTGTTACAAAGCACATCATCCAGAAAAAATAGATGTTAAAAATTTTAATTTACAATACATTTTACATGTTTTAAAGAAATATTTTGTATTCAGAAAACCTATATAAAACTTAAAGAAAAGAAACAAAAAACAAAAAAGTGGGGAAAGAAACATAACCCATCATCTGATTACTGTCATTTAACATTTAAATATGTTTGCTTATGCTGTAGTCTGACTGTATTCAGACTGACATTGAAAAGATTACATATTTTCATGTTAGGTAGTCATAGATGAAGGCTATATTTATAGCATAAACTTTCAAGCTTTCAAATTCGGAGTAAGCTTCTAACACAAATTCTTTCTATGTCAAATAATTGCAGTGTTTCACCTTCCCTATTTCTAATTTCTGTCTTCAAAGTTAAGCATTTACTGTACAGAATCATTGATATAAACTTTGGGCAAAATAACTTTTTACTCATCTATATGTCAGCAACAGAAATATGTCAGGAACAAAATGATATTGTGTGGATATAATTTTCAATATGACCCAGAAGTACTAGAATCAAAGTACTGAGAATTTTAAGTAAGTTGTATACTCTGGGAGAATAATCTTCAAGTACTTAAACAAGAAATATTAAGTGGCCATCAAAACAATCCTTGGGATTTGAGTCACAGATTGTGTTTTGACTATTAATGGGGAACTTACGTTTCAAGAATATAAACTGGGTTTAGCAAAATTTATATTTTAATATAAATGTTTTGAGTCATTTGATTTGCCCTGATATCCTCAATTCAGCTAGAGTTTTAGATTAAATTATAATTTAGCTTTAATGTAATGGAAGGGGATAATTTGGATTTCTGGCAATTTATTTGGAACCTCAAATAAAATATGTTAATGCTTTCTTTTAAATGAGCAATTGGATATAATTTCAAGGGAATAAAAAATAATTTTATTTTATATTTTCTTTAGAAATCTTTCCCTTTTGTGTCACTGTTAGAACTTTTGGTTGACCTTTTTCAGTTGGGAAATATCCTTTACACTGATGGAGTTTTTCATGCTTTTTAGTAATACTAATGAGTTGAATAATTTATGAGGTTGTCATGTGCAAAAGATTTGGTGTGATTTGATATACTTTCAGCTTCTGGTGTTGGAATGTGATTAATAAAAACCTAGAGGCATGTAATTTTTTCCTTGATGTTTGATGTTCTAATTTTGCATGTGCTGAATATGTTATTTAGGCATTTTCTAATGGTTAAGTCTAATACAAGTACAAATGTAACTCCTTACCAAGAATCTTACAGACCATAGCATTGAACAAATATAAAGAAAATACTGTAAAGAAATACAAACTCATCTTTTGACCTGCAGGGTTTTCTCCTTCATGGCAAATTAGCTAACAGGGAAATCATTGAAAAAGGAGCATCTTGTATATAGTTTATATCTTAAAGAAAAAATACTGCAGATTCTTAATAAGTTTGCTTATCTTAGTTGCCTATACATCATCCTTTAGCCCTCTGTTTCTTGTCCATAAAATTACAGTGGAACAATGTTTCATCAAAGCTTAGGATCGCAAGTGCCTCCACGTCTGTGATCAAAGACATCATTCTAAATAATTCTGATCAGGCGTCACAGAAAGGCCAGGCTGTTTCAGCCTGAAGGGGGGAAAGAAAACATGGGGCAAAAATGACAAAGTTAATCAGTCATTTCTTTGGCAATAAATAATAAGATATGCTGAGAACTGCAAATGAGAACATTCTTAGGTTCCTCAGAGATGCGTCTGCTTAACACCTGATTTATCTAGGCTTGTGAAGCCATCAAGATATGACCTTGATGAATAAAAAGCAGCTCTTTAATGAATCTGGAATTAAATTAGTTTTATGGTATATGCATGGCTACTGCAAGTGCTACTTGGAATCATCAAGGAAACTACTGAGAATGAAAATACTAAGGCAGCTATGCTATTGTAAAGAAAAAACTGTCAAATTCTCTGATTGTTTTCAGTGTCTAGTTATTCTGGCATTTGATAAAGATAGTTTGATTTTTTTTAACCAGTTAACCTTGTTTGTGTTTTGTATAGATGCTAGTAGACCTCTTTGTATTTGTTCATTGTGACTCCATTAAAGTCAGTGTGTTTTTAATTGGCTTTTTATATTTGGAATGAAATAGATGATATGCTTAGGTTTCCAATAATTTGCCAAAAGTTAATGATACATTTTTCAGAGTGAGGAGAGAAAGACATGAGGGAGGCATCTGTCTTCTTTTTCTGGAGTCAGTCCCAAGGTTTATTCTCACAATCCTGTCTTCACACTGTTG